ATGTCAAATTTCCTCATCTAGAGACTGCTAACAGAGGATTTGTTGGGTTTCTGCACCTGCAGACATGCAGATGATGTAGTTGCTGGTTATGGCCAGAAATGATCTCCTGATAGCCACAGGTGTGCTCACTTCTAAGACTTTGCTTATAGAAGAAAAGTGGTGGGGTTTATTTTTTTTCAATGGCATTAAGTGCTTGTATAAACACCTGATTAAAAAATTCAAGACCCATTTGGGCCACATGAAATGCACCTTACCCATTCTGTGACTATTTCAGGCTATATTTTTATTCCCTCACTGCCATCAGTCAAAAATGTTAAAACTTGTAGAGCACAGCATAATAAAGCAGCTTGAGCCTGAGAGCTCTGCCAAGCATAACATCAAATCTTTCAGAGACTGAGGTTAGATAAAGCACCAGATACACAGCAAATTCTTGATTGAAATAAAACACCAAACATTTCTCCTTGGCTGGCAACAGGTGAATTCACAGAACGGGTTTCCTTATTCACAGGAGTTTCTTTTATAGCAAATCCAAGGGTTTCCCTGCTTCCCAGGAAAATTCCGTCTTGCAATATGTTTAAAATGTTATCAGCTTGGAAAAAATAACACTGCTTTAAACTGATGGGAAAGGAGCCCATTGGCTCTAAAGTTACCATCCCCGAGTCGGGCACTCGGTGCTGTTTGGGGCCTTTGTTCAGGCTCAATCAGCCGTCGAAAATCAGCGCTCCCGTCACTGCCCGTGCTGGGCGGGATGACCAGGAGGGTTTCCCGCAGCCAGGATTGGGCGCTAATTACCTGTTCAACCCCCTTGTAAATACCTGTCAGAGGAGGGAGAGCTCAGCTCCCGGCTGAGAGCAGCAGGACCTCGCTGGGGCTCCCCCCGTGCCCCCCCACGTCAAAGCCATCACCACAAATAACATCTACAGCTCCTTCCTTCCTTCCTTCCTTCCTTTCTTCCAGCACCTAACATGTAAAAAGCGTTTCACAGACCCTAAAGCTGAAGGTGGGGGAACCACCAGCAAATCCCTGTCCATATTAGTACTTTTGCAAAGCATAAACGTCTACAGGTTGTTTTTACCGAGGACTGGCATTCACCGTGGTTGTTAAAATCCTGAAGTCCAAAGCCTGAATAGGATGGGAAAGGTGACTGGGGCTCCCTGGGCCTGCAGTCACTGAAAGGGAAATTTATCTTCCAAACAAATATCCAAGAAATAAATGTGGCGCTCCAGAGGCCTTTATTCTTCTGTCTTGCACCCTCAAAAAAAAAAATACAGAGATCCTTTGAAAAAAAGATAAATGAAAAAAGTTTTCTGATAACCACTGGAAGTTTTTCCTGTCGCAGCAGGGAACGCCGTGGGGGAGCGAGAGTCTCTGCCCGTCAGCAACAAACACACAGGGTGGCTTGGCTGGGCTGTGCTCCTCACCCCGACATCAAAATAAGCCTTTCATGGGCTGTTTCCTGGGGAAAGGGTTTATTTTTCCATCCAAACGGGAATGGTGGGAGGCTCAGCCGCAGCCCCCCCGGCCGGGAGCGCAGGTGGGTTCGGTCTGTACGCGGCACTGTGGGACCAGGCACCGCTGCCGGCAGCAGCCAGGGGCAAAGGAAGGAAAAGGGGACGGGGGACGGGCGGGGGGAAGCTTAAAATTTTGCAGGAGCAAACAATCCTCCCGCAGGCAGCGGTAAATAAAATAACAGCAGCGGGGTGATTTGCAGCCATGTAACGGGCTTTTGTCCGGGCCCATTTCTCGCCGCCGGGAGGGTTTCTGTGTTCCCTCTCGGCAGGGTCCCGATGTTCCCCCTCCGGCTACAAAGGCCGGGGGCTGCGGCCCCTCCCGGCGCTGCCCCCGCTCTGCCCGGCTGCGCTCCCCCTCCTCCCGCGGCCTGGGGGGCTCCGGGGCCTGGGGCTCTGCGATTACGGGGCCTGAAGTGCTGGTGTAGGATTTGCCACCTTTAAAAACAGCTTTTACTCATCTTTTTAACTCTTTTTTTTTTCCCTCCCCAGTTTACATGAAGCCCGTTGGGCATTTTTGTTCCCTGTTGGAAAGTTAGAAGTATTTATAAGTCTAATTAGAGGCATTTATAAGAGTGATTAGTGTGAAGCATCAGCTGCTGGCGGCATTCTGTGTGTCTGTGTGTGTGTGTGTGTGTTCACACATGGATGCAACACTGCAGTTTACAATTTGTTTCTGTGCTTGAAAGCTGTGAAATGCCCTTAATTCCCCCGGCACCGATGGCAACAGTGGGCACTGGCTGGCTCTGTCCAGTGCCTCAGCACCACACAGGATCACATCTCTGAGGAGGGATTGTGTCTCCCTGTCTTTGTCCACTAATGTAAGAACAAGTGCCTCAAGAAAAAAAAAAAAAAAAAAAAAAAGTACAAAATTAAAAATAAAAGCGAAAAAAAAGGACGAAAAAGCATGTATGTGTTGAAAGCTGCTGTTAGACCCACAGGACGGAGACCAACATGGCCCCACTCCTGCCTGCCGACGACTGCCTTGCAATCACTCACCTCACAAGTGCAACGTTGTCTTTCCCTCATTTTCCTTTGCTGCTGGGTATTACCTCTGCATCCTCACCCTCCCTGGACCTGCAGCACGGCTGTAGATGTCTCTTGGGGGAGAGGCTCCCACACAATCTGCTTTGGGGAGCAAAACCATCAGGAAGTGAGCTCCAAGTCCAGCGGGGGCTGTGGGGCTGCCCCGGCATGAGGGGAGCCGGAGACCAGCCAGGCCACAGAGCACCCACCCCAGCGCTGAGCCCGGGCCCACCGGGCCTGTCCCTGCCAGGGGGGCACGGGGATTCTCCTCCGGGCACCGGGTGTGTCCCTGCCAGGGGGGCACGGGGATTCTCCTCTGGGCGCTGGGCATGGCACAGCCAGGGATGGCTGGTGGAAGGCGGGAGGGTGCCTGGTGCAGCACAGGGTGCTTCCAAAACATCCATCCTGCAAACCTCGGTGCTTCCAGCCTAGAGCCGCTGCCCTGAGCCTGGGCAGCCCCTCAGGTCGCTCTGGATGCAGCGAGCACCCCCCAAACTCCTCAGCCCACTGAAAGCACCCCAGGAACCGCAGCCCAACCACCAGCCCCGGTGCTGGGCTCCAGCTGCCACAAACCAAACTGTCTGACAAGCTTTTGAGCCAGGTTTAAGCCCTGAGGTCCTGCTCTGACACAGGACAGAGCACTGTCCCTCTCCTAAGTCACCTGGGACAAGTGTCAGTGTCCCTGTGTCTCCCCCGGCCCAGGGAGAGCCCCGCAGGTGCCGTGCCAGCGCTGCTGCCTGCAGAAACACCTCGAGTTAGAGCTGCTTGAAACGTCTTGAGGCAGCTCCCACGAGTTCAGGCCCTCCTCGACCAGGGATTTCTTTTTTCTAGCCATCATGTAAACAGAATTAAAAGGTCAGTGCTGCCCCCACACGCTTACAAAAGCTTTTGGTTGGAATGGCTTGAGAAAGATAGGGAGATATGTAGGGAGTGCTTTAATAATGTATTTGTTTTGCATACCTGTGGTCTGTTTCCCTGTCACAAAACAAACAAACAAATAAAAACTCCTCCTTGATTTCTGCTTTCAAAAACTTACGTGAAAAAGATTTATCCACATCAATTTCAGAGCTATGTTTGGAGCATTTTCTGCAAAAACAGTCTGTAGTACAGCTCCACTGACACATAGGGATGGTTAAACCTGACTTTTTAGTATTGCTTTTTGGGGAGACATTAATAAACTGATGGTCCCCAAAATTGCCTACAAAAAAAAAATCTTTTTTTTTCACTTAGTCTCCCTGTGTCTAGTCCATGCTGCCCTCATAATCCACATAGTCATTATCCTGGGGGCAGACAGAAATTGCTTTTTCATTTTTCCTATGTCCATCTCTGTACAGCTACAGAAAGTCCCATACAAACTGAAGGTGAAACACAAAAGAGAGGAGTTACAATGAACTCACTTTACTCCAAGTAGTAGCAAGTGGCCATGTGAAGGGATGTACAAAAAAAAAAACCAAGCTATTTTTCTGTCTCTGGTCTTTTCAGTAACAGGGAGGTTAAGGTATCCCTCCTGGCAGGGGGTGAGACTCAAATGTCACGCTGAAGAATGACGTTGTGTGTGTCCCTTTAAAAACTTTGAATAGAAACTAGTTTAAATTTGAATCTAAAAAGATAAAGTGAGCTGGGTTCAACCTGGAACTGGCTAAAATATTTCATGCTGCATGTTCATGAGAAAAAAAAAAAAGGCCACTTTTTCTTTTTTAATCTAAACATTGCTTTTGAAAATTTTCAGTGGCAAAACACTAAAATGCTGCTTTATTTTATGACAACAGACAGTTTCTTTCACTTCAGAGTTACAGCAAGAGCCAGACCCTGCAACGGGGTGGAGTTTCAGCTTGGAAATCCCCTGGATTTCTGGCTCAATTTGTCCTTGTGCACAAAAAACCAGGCACCACAGCCAATAAATTTGTTTCAAACAAGTGATGTGTACCCAAGCCCACCCTAGGCGTGTGGGCAGGAAGGAGCAGGCAGGATGTGGGCTGCTGCAGGGCAGCACTGCCCACCCAATCTCCATGGCAATGAGGGGTCTCACCAGCTGGGTCAGCCCAGCAGCCCTGGGGGTGTCCTGGGGTCTCCATGGGGCTGCAGCAGGTGGCAGCCCCAGCCAGGTCCCTGCTGAGCTGGCAGAAAGCCATTCCCTGCTCTGTGGGACAGAGGGAACCACAGGAAGGCGCTGGGAGGGACGAGGGGACAGGGAGTTGCAGGTCCAGTTCTGTGTAGATGTTTTTCTGCAGTCCACACAGAAAAGTTTGCCACAATAAATTTCATTCAGTTTTCATTTTAGTCTCTGGCAGAAACTCATTTGAACACATCTACTAAACAAATCTCTCTTCTTGCCCAGGCTTCTTTCAGTTTTAACTGTCCTGAATGTGAAATCTCCCGACTTGGAATACAGGTACTTCAGGGCTTCCACAGAAAAACAAAAAAAAACCCCAAATCATTGAATTCAGACAGTACCAAGACCAGAGGTGGGGTTATAGAATAGATTTATTTGGATGGAGTAACAATAAAACTTATGATCCTGCTTTCCTAATTAGCCTGCCTACATGGGTACCAAAATCAGAGCTGGAAACATGCAAATGTCATGAAACCACACAAAAATAATACAAAAGTATTTTAATATTGTCTGATTAGAAATTCCATTTTCAGAAAAGTAACAAATACAAATGGCAATATTACTCTGTAAACATCTTCTCTCTGATCCTTTGAAACCTCCATGCAGATTTTTAAATACATTTTCACAAAGAAATCAGTGTAGAAAAAGAACAAAGAATTACAACACATTTGAGAGAAATCCTGAAATTAATTTCAAAAGGACATGACTTTAGCATAAAAATACATTTGGAGGAAGAGCATCTTTTGTTTGTTTCACAACCCTCAAATTTTTCTGGATGGGCACGCTGTGTACTGTCCCTCGTTATTTTCAATTAGGTAATAGACATGAAGTTACTTTGGCATTGTTATAAACAGAGGTAGTTCTGAGAAATGTATATTGAATGCCAGAAGGAAAACGAGCAGGAAGATGTAAGATGGAGCCTGATCCTGCTAACCCCTGCTCCTCCAAACAATCCTCTTTCTTTTCTACTTACTGTGCAGTCTAAGAACTTCAGGATTAAGTCAGGTCTTAGAACCATAATTCCATTTATTTGTAGAGGCAAACATGCCTTTCGCTTAACATAAATGTTTTTATTTAAAAGGAGGTTGTCAATTTGAAAGCGTTTTAAATTCACGTTTAGGAGAGGCTTTGTGCAGTTTCACACGGGCCGGGGGATGGGCTGGATCTCGGCAGCTCCAGCACCCGGAGCTGCCCTCCCCAGTGAGCAAACACTGCGTGTGGATGCGGAGCACAGAGCGGGTTCACCCTGCGGAGCCCCTGGGGGTGCCCAGCTCCCGTCCCGGCACCCCGGCCGGCCCCACGCAGCCCCCGCGCCGCCAAAATCGCTGCTCCAAGTCAGCCGTGGGGAAAGAACTCCTGCAATTCCAGCGTCACATCCCTGCGGGCAGCGCCTTGTGCTGGGATGGGGACCAGCAGCTCTGGGAATAATCAGACCCCACTCAGAAACAGAGGGACAGGAACTGAAATTTACATTGTCACCATCACTGAAACTCCTCCTGAGAGCCAGTGTGCCAGCAGTGGTACCAGGACACACAGGGATGTGCACACAGATGCTCACAATTTGTTGTTTCATTTTATAGCTTTTTTCCTCTTCAATTATCTCCTGTAAATAAAGAAAACGGAATGTGATTTAATGCTCACTACATTTTTCAAACAGTTACCAGCAAAAAACCCCAAAATGTTGTAGCAGCCTGCAACCCCTTTCTCACATGTATTAGCAAACAGTTAATTCTGGTTTGTTGCCCGCAAACCTCAGGTCTGAGTTTTGTTGCATTTTTAAAGCCTGCATCAGAAGCTTAACCAGAAACAGTCAAATCATCCTTTTTGAGGCATTCTTAGTTAAATAGCATCATATGTAGTCCCTGCAAAGGACTAAAAATATTCAGCTGTGGTAAGGTTTTTTTGTTTATACATTTCATCCAGCTCAGGAGTGCTGCAAAAAAAGTCAGCAGTTGTCATCCTTTTTTTCAAAAAATACACTTTCTAAAGGGACAGATTTTATAATAGTTTGGATTCAGCTAATGGATGAATATCATTGGCTCGTACATTATTTTTCAAAGAACACTGGGCTGAGCCATTAAATAACCAAAAATAAGTAATTTTTTAGCCCCAAACTCTTAGACATTTTCTCTTAAAAGAGCAGTAGGGCATATTTTTTCTCAGTTCAATATGAATCCACTCATTACCCCAATTTCAATTGGCTAGGTATGAAAATCTCAGTACTTACTCAGGTTTTTTCAGTGTCTCAAGTGTAAGAAGAGAGTCATGTTACTCATGTTTACCTCTGCCAAACAGCAGCTGGAATATAGTCCCTCCAGGCAGAACACTGTGAGCGTATTAAAGTACTAAATGATTCCCAGGAAATTCATAAAATGTCCTTTTCTAATGGTTCAAGGTATTTTTGTGGAGGCAGATTATTTACTATTTTTAGCTTTTCCCAGTGTCTAGCTTGTCTAATTGCTCCTTGTGCAAGTGCTCTGGCCCGGGGCTATTTTTCAGCTCTAATTGCAAAAGAAAGGATTACATGGCTTTGCTTGTGCTGGAGATGGGGCTCAAACCCTCCCAAAAAAAAAAAAAATCAAACCCTCCACCCCCCAGTTTCATAGCTACCCAGAACATTCACTCAATTTGCTGGTCTCATCTATAACTTCAAACCTGCTGACAACAGGACCACAGGTAGGTACCTGCTGTGTGCTGTCAGGGAGCAGGGCAGTCTGACCAGTGCTGGAGTTTTCCAATTGATGGTTCTCTCATCTACTTACACAGTGCAGCAATTACCAGAGGTGTTACCTTTGCAATTTTCCTTGAAAAGTCATGGAGAGATTCCCATAAAACGCCCCTTGTTGCAATTCTAGTTGAAAATCCTGGAAACAGCATAGAGAAGTCGGGCTCTGTGCTGGGAATGGGCAGTGAGCAGCCGATTTTGGTTATAAACTCACCTAAACCTGGGGAAGGAAAACCAAAATGTCAAGTTATTTTGACTTTGTTCAAAATGCCAGAATGCCACGATGAGAACTACCTAAGCTCTACTACCTGATCTTTCAGAAGATAAAAAACCTATTTTATGCCCAGGTTTAGTTAACACTGTTTTGTGGATACTCTTCAGGGTGTTTTCATCTCAGCCCACTGGGTAACTTTACCAAGCAGCAGTCTGGCAGAAGCCCCTCTCACTTCAGAACTTAAAACTTGCAGCACAGCTCTTCCCAGAGAGGAGGGAGATGGATCCTCTCCAGGAGAGTGGAAAACCTCAAATCTGCAATTTTGCCTTGTCTACATAAAGAGTGCTTGCATTTTGGCCCAAGCCTGAATTTGCCATTAAAGTAGCCCTTGTCTATAGAAATGTTAGGAGACAGCCCAGGCACCATCACAGCCTGGTACATCCCTGGAAAAAGCAGCCACTGTCATCTCCTGTGAGGGTACAGCACTCCTCCAGAGCAGCAGCTATCTGAAAATAATTTCATTTTCCTGTGATAATGCAAACATCAGCACAAAGGCCTGGTCTATGAGAGCAGTTGTGCAACACTCAATAATTTCACATCCTGGTCTGAAATGTTCCACAGGCAGTTGGAAGGTCCAAGGCTGAGATCCAAAAGCACCAATGTATTCACAGCTATGCAAATATTAGGAACTAGTGATGTCTCAACACATGCAACATCTTACATTATATTTAGCAGACTCCACTTAAATTCACCTGCCTACAAGCTGTAAAAATTTACTAGAACTTGTGAAAAAAACTAGAACAGATTAAGCCAAATAATTTTTCAGCTATTAATCATTTGAGGTTTGTTTGAAGATTTTACCTCTTGGGAGATAGAGGTTCCTAAATATTCCAGTGGGCTCTAAGTCAGTAACACATCTGAGACACTCTGTCCTCCTGCATACCCTGATAGCCCTGGGTTTGCTCCCTGCCTCCTGCTTGCTCTGCAGCCCATGTGATGCTTTGTTTACCCACTGCACAAGCAGATCCATGCACCAGCCATTCCCAGCAGAATGATTGGGAGGCCACGGCTTTCTTATGCCTGAGTCTGCAAACACTGGGCACTGATGTGTTCCCCTCCTTCCCACTGAGCTCCCCTCTGTGTTTTGGGTTCAAAGTGAAACTATCCCAGACTCAGGGACCTCGAGAGAGAGCAGGACTTGGGAAACTCCAGGAGAGACACTGAGGGCACGAGCATATTATCAGAAAGAATTTGAGTGCTCCCAGCAGCCCAGCAGCAAATTAGAAAGTTTTGGCTCCCAAGAATGAGTTGTGTTGTTTGTTCCTGCACACTGCAGCTGCTCGTCCCTCTCCCTCCCCACCCCCCTCCTTTGGGTGGTTTATTACACACAAGCTACTAATGAATGGGAGCCGCTGTTTTACAGTACACCACACTTACAGGACTTATCTCTAGGCCTACCACAGATTTGACTGATCAACAGCAGGGCACCACCATCATAATTCTTCCTAGAAACAGGAGGATAAAAAGGGGTTTGTTGGAGGTTGGCTGTGTCTGCAGAGAATCCTGCCTGCAGGGCCTGCTGATGCCATCACTCGCTGCTATGGTCTTTGGCCTAATAAGGTACAGAAACAAAGATTGTTCACTTGTTCAAGAATACTAAAGTACCCAAGTGACGGAAAGTGGAGGCAGCAGGGCACACATCCAAGTGGGATTAAGGCCACAAGTGCAACGTTACAGGGCTGACTGGGTGGCAGAGGGAATATCTGCCTCTGAAGAAAAAAAAAAAATCCAGTTCAAACATAATTTATAACATGTCACTCACAGTCAGAGGTGGCTGTCATTAAGAGTTAAATGCTGCATTGTGTTCAACTTATTCCGATAAGAATTCTCTAAGCTGCTTATATGTTATCATAACTCATGAATAAGTGGAGCGTGGGCTGGGGAGGGGGGAGAGGCTCTCTGGGGCAGGATGGGACCCAGACTGGGAGGCAGAAATGATGGAGCAGAGCTGGGCTGCTGGGTCCTCAGTGTGGTGTACCCTCAGTCAATGTGGAGTCATTCCAAGGACTCCACAGTGAGTCTTAGAGTCTGCCAAGCCCATGGGACTTGTCAGGGTCCAGGCTCTACTGGGACACATCCACCTTCTTTGCTTTAATGTGCTTCTCCAGTTAGGGAGCCAGGCAGTAACACCGGGAGGATCTAAACTGGTGCATTCAGGTACAGCTGGTCTACACAGCAAGGCTCTATGGAGATTTAAGAGCTGGAGGTGAAGGGAAAAAAAATGGGCAATGTTATAGCCAAGTATAAAACCCCTAAGTTAATACTGCTTACTGGAAATGGAGCTGGGAACCCAACAGAAGAGCAGCAAAGCAGCTTCTTTAGGGACAATATTAAATTCCTCTGACTGACTTGGCAGTTTGGAAGCAGCAGGATTGTTTTCTCTAGCTTAAGGAAACCCAGCAACAGACCCCACTGAAGTCCAAGCAGCTAGATCAGGCCCAATACCACTAAACTTTCCAGGCTTATCAGGGAAATTTTTCCCTGCAACTTTTTCCCTACTGGAGGTGTAGAGGGAACAACTTGTGTAGAATAAGAGAATCATAGGAGCCCACTCATATTCACAGAATTAATCATAGGAGCCTGTTCATTTGCACTGCTCACTTAGTGCAAATAGCCACTGCAATTCCCAGTTAGAAGCATTTCTCTGGTGCAGCTCATTCAGAAAGCAGCAGTTTGTTTACTCACTGGCTTGGGCTACCTGGATCACATTACACCTGCTGGGGCTGCTGGTAATGTGGGAGGTTGATTTTAAACTGGCACTGTTGCTTTTATAAAGCCTTTAATGTCGTAGGCTCTGGCTGTGTTCAAGATCTCAGCCATGAAGCCAGGGCTTAAGGGACTTGGGGCTGAGACATCCCAGTCCTCTACTTCCCTGTCACTCAAGTCAACAACCACAACTTTGCTGCGGTAGGTGTGGGACAAATATTTCAGTCCCTGACCTGTGCCTGGTCTGACTAAAGACCCAGGGTCTCTGATTTGCCCACAGCACAGAAACACTGCAGCAAGTACCCAGTTTTCTGAGTACCAAGCTGAATACGAGTATCTGACCTGCTGCCTCCTTGCTGTCTTCACTGTGTTGGAAAGCCAGAGGGCTGACCGCAGTGAGCTCCTGGTACCCAGAGGTGGCTGCAGGACACTGCAGGTGCAGGGTGCATGGTGTGTGTGCAGCACAACAATGCATTCATGTTTCTGGCCTCTACAGCTCTGAGGAGCTGATAACCACAGCCCTCTGTCCCTGCAGAGAGCAGACAGTTCCCTGCAGCCACCTCTCTCCAAGAGGGAGCAGAAGATGACTCAGGAATCCCATCCACCCTTTCCTCCCCCCAGCCATGGCAGCCTCTGGGGCTCACCCACGCACGGGAGCTGAACCCACGGGAACGTTTTTGTGGGTGGGTGTCCCCAGGGGGGCTCTGCTTGTCTGTTGTGCAGCTTTAGGAGTGTGCAAGTCCAAATCCATTTGTCTGGGTGCAAGTCACAGTAAACAATTAGTAGAACTTGTCAGAAGAAAAGTTAAAATAGATGTAACTGATGTGTGAAGGCGTGTTTTACCCAGCTCTAAATCCTGTTGGCTGTGTGAGTAGAGGCAGGTAGTAGATTAACTATGCAGCTCAGAGACCATTAAGGCTTGCAGAGGAACAATTAGTCCAGAATTTGCATTTTATGAAATTGAGCCTTTTATAAAACTTACAGCACAGCTAACGACAGAGATTTCTTCAAATAAGTATTTCCTTCTGATCTTTGTCACGTGGGGTTTGTAGCATCTTGCCAGGATATGAGAACCTAAAAATGTAAAAGGCAATATTTCAGCAAAAATTAAACCCACTGGTTTATCTTTACCATCTGTGTGAAGTGTAAACAGAGAGAATAAATAAATAAATACTGAAAAATACATTTGTTTTAAATAAATGTGAACAAAGGGTTTGACACATTTGCAGTACGTAATGCTGGTTTTAAAACATGATTTCAACCACCTGACACATTCAATTAAATACAGAAAACTCTCCAGGTTGTATTTGCATTCTGGAAGAGCAGCTACAAAAGAAAGTGTAAGTGCAGCAAATCATTCTGAAAATAAACTGATTTGAACAGAGAATGAGTTCTCCCTGAAAGGCTGCAGCACCACTGACTTTGTAGTATTACTTGAAAAACCTGCAAGTATCTTATTTTTCCCCATAAAACAGATCCACTTTGGGAAGGGCAGACTGACAGTTTGATCTACCTTCCAGGAAACCATGAGAGAAAAAAAAAATCACTTCTAGCAGCACAAATTTTCAGTAAGGCCTCTTTTTTTCTCCAATATTCAGGGAAATTCCTAATGCAGTTCATAGCCTTTAATTAAAAAAAAAAAAAACAAAAAAAAAAAACCAAAAAAAACCCACCCTGCAGCAATAAATGGAAGAAAACCAAATCCCTTTTCCAAGCAGTGACACTGCCACTTTAATAGTTTCCCACTGTACTTGGGGTTAGTTGCCAGAGAAGCCTTGTTCAGCCTATTTGGGGGCCCCATGAAATGCTGCAAGCGTTACTGAAATGAGCACTTGTCTTTTGTTGAGCTGCATGCTAGCACCATACAGTGCTGAGCTGATAAATCCACTTTTTCTAACACAAGCATTTTTCAAACAAAACTACCATGAGACTGATGAGTAATGCCAGCTTGCCAAAAAAAAAAAAAAAAAAAAAAAAAAAGACACACACCCCTCACAGGCGCTGCTGACACTGACAGCTGTTAAATTCACATATTCACAAAATGAGATGGGTTACATAACTGGAAATTACAAGAGCGACTCACCAGCGAGAGGAACTGCAAAGCAAGGCATCACTGGGGCTTGGGAAGGAACAGATCCCACATTTCCATGTGCACTGTCCCACTGAAGGGGACAAAGCTGTGCCTCGAGCACACAGAGGTTGCTGGGCACTCCTCACCCTGCATCATCAGGCTGTTTGGAGTTTGTTCAGCGTTGGGATTTTTTTTCAGCAAAGTGAGGATGCATGTGGAAAAAGGATATATTAGTTCTGCTATGTATGTTATAACACAGGGGTAGCTTAAAAGCCCAAATGTCACATTTTGCAAGGCATGATGCAAAAATTCTAAAAGGTTTATTGTCAAATCTTGAGCAGCTGAGAAGGCAGTGGAGAAGGTGAAGTGCTGGGTAGAGTTAGGTTTGACAAAACCTAGGTAGCTTTTAATTTGCATCAAATTTTTCAGATACATAAACACTTCACAGAGATGTTTTTTATCATTCTCATTGCATGGCCATAGAGCTGAGCTCTGGAGAAAGTCTGTAATCTTCCCATGCAGGACAGGAAGGCAGTGACACCATGTCACCCCACCACCACGTCACCTGCCTTTATTTCAGTATCTGTTTCTAAATTGGTTTGAAAACTTTGACAAAAGCACCTGGTTCTGGAAGGCCACAGAGCAGATGATGGAGGAAAGGCTTCATTAAGGGCTCCTGAGAAATGGCAGGCTGTGGAGCTGGTGGAACAGCTCAGGAGAAGGAGCAGTGAGGGAAGATGGCAATGTCTGCACAAGCTGCCAGGCCCTCACATGTTGCTGAGATTGCCAGAAATGAGGTTCTAAAGGGGGCTAATCTGGACATAAATCAAAGCAGAAAACAATGGATGTATTTATGAATAGCCATACTAAAAAAAAAAAATCCAGTAATTAAACCACCATTAACATCAAGCTAAATTTTATACATTCAAAATTATCTATGCTTCAATTTTTTCTGCTCATGTCTGAATTCATTCTTCTTACATAGTAAGAGGGGTTTTGTTGTTATAAAAAAAACACCTAAAAGCTTTTTTTATAAGCAAGTTTATCAAACAAGCAATGAAGATAAAATGATAACTAAATGCATAAAGTTCCATGTACTTTATCATGTTATCTGTAATAAACTAGGCTAATGCAAAATCAAGATGCACAGACAAATCAGGAGAAAAAAAAAAAGAAACACAGAAATAAATGCTTTGAGAGTGATGTCACCTAAGCTGGTGTGTAGGTACAGTCTGCTGCGTAGGAGAGCAGTGAAAGCATAAACAGCATACTAGATGTGCATTAAGCCACAAACAGAAATAGCTGTGAACAATGGCAAAGTCTGGTTGCTCTTGGAACCTTAATGTAAGGAAACATCCTTATAAAAGATGAGACAATAGCGGGTCTATAAATGACAGCCCCGTAGGCAGGGAAGGATTAAGAACTTCCTATAGTTCCTAAAGTATCAACCTATATTGTAACCCTTCCACAAAGGCTGCCTTAAGTGCTTTTTCTGAATTAGTCCACCCAGAATAGGAAAAAGCATCAGAATTAGTTTGACTTTTCCTCTGGACACCAGCCACACACTCTCAGGGCAGAGAGGAAGAAGTAAAAGCAGACGGAAGCTCAGCACTTGCTTAGGACCTTTTGCCAGCACACCTGTAAGTCCCAGTGCTCGTTTGCCCTCCCTGCTTCCTCCAGAGCCCAGAGGCCTCTGCCAGCCCTGATCCAGGCCATGGCAACGTGCTGCTCTCTAAAGCTGGGCTCCTCTGTCTCTGCAGAGCACTGCCTTTGGACACAAGCAAACACAAACTAGGCTGAGGCTTTAACATCCATTTATCACTTTTATTTTCTTTGTTTTCTTTTCTTTTATTTTATTTTGTGGTTTTGTTTGTTTGCATGAGTAATAAAAAACATTCATTTAACTGGGCATACATTTAATTTGACAACATTAACAAGATACCTGCCAACACCTCATGGCCCATGATCTGGGACATATTCCTGTACAGCAAATATCCTCTGAGCTTTCAGGTAGCAGATTACCCTCAGACCTCAGATTCTCTTGCAGACTGCCACATACTCCACTAATACAAATTTAAATTTAAGATTATGGGCATTACTATTTAATACAATTCCACAGACCAGGCACAGCAAACTTTCAAAGGCCTCAGGGGTTATCAGTGTCCATAGGACAGGGGCTGGGAACCACCACAGACTTTGGTGGCTCTGCTGGTTTATCTCTAACACAGCACTAAAACCATTCACATACATCCCTCTGGTGAAACTCAAAGAGCCTGCACTTCAGAGAGTTTTCCAAAAAGTCAAATGAAGCTGTGTGAGCACTTCACTGCACTGATGGGGAAGAAGAATGTCCACTGCAGCTACTGCTAACATAGGCACCTCTAGGCACTCCAAATGGATATGGATGAACCGAGCAATATGAAGAGGTACAAAACATGCAAGACCAGGACCTTTTATGAGTCACATTTGTAGATTTGCAGCTGATTTTAAATTCAATGGGATCTACAGAAGTCAACACTAAAGAATTTGAAGCAAGTTAAAGTTCTCAAGATCTTCTTGTTGTTGCCACTGCCAACAATTCCTCATTCCAAGCTGGAGGCTTTAGGGCAAATCTAGGGCAATTCTGGACCAAAAGTTCCAGTGGAATAGTTCTATCTGTTTTCAGAAATGATCCCCTGTCAGTAGAACTTGGTCCTTGACTGATGACAATACAAAGCAGATGTAAGTATATATTTTGAAAAAATGTTTAAAAATTCACAGATGCTTTTGAAAATATTGACGATTCCCCATCCAGCTATTTACAGTCCTATTTTTAATTTTTGTTTTCTGAAAAACAAGCAAATATTCTGATTCTCACCAAGGGCCGTAAGTTTCATCTTCCCAAGCTCAATCACAGAAGCCCTGAATCAACATGCTTCCTAATGGGAATAAATTCTTTTCAGCAGACCACCAAAAAGCCAACTATTATTAGTATGGAGGGTAGAATTAAATAGTGTCACCATGGATATCTGAATGTGCAGGTGCAGGCCTTAAATTATTTTATAGCAAAATTCAGCCCTGTTTCTTACTCCTGGTCTTCAAACCTGCTCCCACCAGACCAGATTATGATGACTCTATAAGAGTCAGGACCTTGGCCAAAAATCCATGGATTTGGGGGGCTTTCTGCAAAAGAAGGCGTTACTGCAAGTAAAAGTTAGATATTCTTGCTGTTGCAATCTGTGGGACTTCTCAGCAGTAGAATGATGTTCAGCACAGCTCAGATGCTCTTCCTGAACTTGTATTTTATGGCTGTATCTCTGTGCAGCTCCTCCAGCCTCAGGGGAACTGCTCAACTGGGAAGGGACTGGGAAGAGAAATGTCAGAGCCAGGTCCTGCCAAGCACATAAAGTCTTTGGGCAAGGGTCTCACTGCACAATTTTTCTAAGACTGGGAACAAATATTAAAGCTATTTTCTTCCTTCAGAGCAGTTTTAAAGTCACTTAAAGTCTGATAGCACTTTCCAGCTGGAAACTGGACTTTGCTCCTCGGTGTAGTTCCACTTACTCATCTGACAAGTACCAATTACTCGTGTGAGCAATGCACAAGGTTCTGTAGCAATGGGGATAAAACACAAGAGCAAATCCACTTGCTCAGAAGGGCAAGTTTCTAGATTCAGTAACAAAATCAGAACTCTACAACAGCCCCTCCCTCCCCCACATAGTTTGTTGCTTAAAATCTTAAAGGAAAAAATATCATGTTCTCTACGAATACCATCATAGCATGATCAATTTTTTTCCTACAAAAATACATAATCAGTTTTGTAGCTTTTCTACTTGTACTGCAAAGCAGTAAAGGAAAACTTTGTGAAACTCTCATATTTTCATTTCACACTTTTTTAATGTTACCTTATTTCCCAGTTTAAAAATAGATTACAGGGATTAAGAGACTTTTGAATCTAAAAAGAATGCACATATTAGGGAAATTGCCAGCTAAAGTAAATAGCCTACTTTAATAAGCAGTCTCCTAGTTTGTATGATATTAAGGAAAAAAAAAACCACTTCACAGGCATCTAGTTTACACATATCAGCTAGCTTCATTTACAAGTTCAAAATCCAGAGGTAGATAAAATATTAGTTTGGTTTGGAATATGCAAAGTGCCAATTTTTCGTGTATTAATGCACTGAAGCACTTGATACAATGTTATTATGGAAGGAAAAAATAGCTGCCAGAAGGGTTTATTTAAGGAATGGTTACTGCAAATAAAAACTTTCAACTAAAAAGGATTTTTAAAATTGTTTTTTAATATGCTTTTAATGACCTCTACTCCTCATACCTACCTCCTTGCTTCCCAAACTGTTTGTACTGTCCCCAATAACACTCAGTGGAAAGCTGTCGTTCCTGGCTAAATCCTTACTTAGGTTGGATGCTATGCCTCCGTTAGACAGGGTCACAAGGTCACAATCGATTTTGGAGGCCACCTGGAGAGTCCAGGCCGTGAACTGACTCAAAAAATTTATATCAGAGCTGGAATGGTCCACCTCCCAGGGCTCAGCCTGCGTTAACACCCCAACCGCAGGATGGAGCCTGCCAGGCCCAGCTCAGAGAGAGGCCAGAGTTGTTGACCCCGTTAGCTGACCTCTTCAAACTTCAGGAGAATTTTTCTGGCAGTTACCACGGTGACTGGGCACTCCAAGCTTATCCTTCTTACTGAAAAAAAAAAAAAAAAAACACGAAAAATTAAAAAGGAAAAAAAAAAAACGTTAAAACCTACCTCATAGGGATGTCTGTCAGGAATCAAACACGTAAAAGTTTTAATTGTTTGCTTCTCTCTTGGGCTGCTCTGCCTCTAACTGGTACATCCGATGTGAACATTGAGAAAACAGTTTGGCTGAAAGCATTTCAACTTGTGAAGAAATAATGCTCAGTGGATTTTACAAGAAGCATTTCTAGTATCTGCTGGTGATCACAAGTGACACGCTAAGAGGTTTATTGTGAAATAATGTTTATTTTTCTTTCTATATCTCTCTCCAAATTGCTACCATTTCTCACTGAATTGAAAAGATGCTGAGACAAGGCTCAGGGAAAGGATTCTATGCTGCCTTCTGGTTTTTTTCCTTTTAAAAACTATCTGCTTGGTGAAACATTAAGTATGCAGCAATACCTTGCTTTGGTCTCTCAGAAGAGACTGCATAACCTATTTAATGTACCATGAAATATTATTTAAGAGGAAAAAGCACAAAAAAAACCCCAAAAGTTGTCAGACATCGTTAGTGCTGGTTTTTTCAGGCACTTTGAACGCTAATCACTTCACACATAAAATTTAGCAGGTAAGCAAGGTCTAGTGATGCTGACAGAAAACACTTGAAACACATCAAGGGATCACAGAGTGTGCTAGGTAAACAAGAAAACAAAGTGCACCCTTCATTTCTGAAAAAAAAAGGGGAAAACTGGTGCTTCTTAATTTCAGAGCAATCACATATTACATACAAAGCTTTTATGTAAATTTTCCTCATGCTCCTCTACTTGAAATAGCATCTTGCAAAAGGGAGCAGTGAAGAGTACACTGCATTATAGCTGGAAAAAATCCTGCTTAAGGGCTCCTGATGGCAAACTGTCAATCAGTATTCCCCTCTTGTTACGAACTGCTCATTTCTGGAGTACAGCTAAACAGAGGTTTAATGATTGAAACTTTAATGGCATTTTGTCTCACACATGGTTCTGAAGTATCTTCTGTTGTTTGAAGAGTTAAATATGGATATTCAAATTGCTGCTCAGCCACTGCTCTGCTCCTCCTGGGCTTCTCCAGTGGCAGTGCTGAGATGGCAGAGGGGACCGAGCTGCTGAGCCGCCTCTCATGGGAGGAGATCACACAGACCCTATGGACACAAAAATAAAGCAGGAGGTTTGGGTGTGAGAAGCAAAAAGCACAGAACTGATCTTTTGTTCCAGACTTACTTTTCATTTCTGCTGGAAGGATGAGAAAAAGGCAGTCCAGCGTACGTGTGTTAACTAACATTAAAAAAAGTGAATTAGGGCATGGTACAGGACCCTTTCTCCTTTCAAAACTGGTTCAATTGCTTTGAAATATCACATGCCTCAAGGCTAAATAGATACATAGACACTTAATAATATTATTTAGCAATAGTGAATTAAACATGAAAACAATTTAAATTAAAAACACTTAAAGATTGTTTCCCTGTTATTAAGGATGTGTTAGAAAAAGGCTAACCCTCTCATTAGGAGATGGATTTTTTCATTTGTGTTTTTGTTATGGCTATACAAGATGTTTTTATACTTTCTCTTTTATTCTCTGCATGAAATAATGTAAATTGAAACAATCAGGTGGCTGATCAATGGGCTAGTGGGAAGAAAAAAATGTTTGCTAAATTCTATTTCTTCTCTTTCTTTTTGAACAACACTGTATATATAAGCATGTGCCTTTCAATTAGATACCATGATTTATGAAGTCATGCTCAGGGCTAGCCAGGTTGTTGACTCAGATGAGAGCTATGATGCCAGCTCATTCCCTGGTGACAAACACTGACTGTCCTTCCCGCAGCCAGGCACCCCTGGCAGCCTTATGAAAAGACCTTGTGGTTGGCACAGCACTGAGCAGGAAATGAGGTCCTCTCCGGTTTGGGACAGAGATGACTGGAGCTACAGAAAGCTGTAAAGCAAAATCAGCATCTCCTGAGTCACAGGCTTTAAGCTCTGGTGGGCCCCACAGTTCCCAGGGTGACCTGGCCACCAGCGCTGCCTCTCCCACACCCCTGCCAGCCCCCGCCAGTGCCCAGGGGAGCACCCTGCACACGCTGGGCTGCCGTGCCATGCCATGGGACTGCTTTCCTGGGGGAGAGGGGAACAGAGGGCACTGCCATCCCCCACTCTCCCCATGTGCCTGGTGCTCAGCACCCTCCTCAGGGAATCCCTTTCTCCCTCATCCCTACCAGAGAATTTTTTTGGCACGCTGTGTGGTGGTTTTGTTTTTCAATATCACGAGGCTTTTATGTCAGCCTATAGTTTGGGGATCTCTGTGTGGCCTACCCTCCTCCAGGAATTTCACATATAAATCACTGGAAAGCAGGAAATCCCTAAGTCCTGGTAGGAAGCTGTTTACCATGTTTGCCTCAGCACAGACAGCTGCAGACCACAGAGCATCTTGCCTTGTAGGTACCACTGCAACCCAGACACCTGGACCTGAAATAGGGGAACTTGACCCCCTTCCTCTGAGATCTCTGAGCCAGAAAAGTGAGCTCCTGGAATGGGGTTAGAAACTCCTACTGAATTCATGGAGTAGAACTCCCTGATCTTCTCTGTGTAACACTTTCACTCCAAATTCCCTCAATGCCATTGAAACAATAATATTTAGACCATTTGGGGCTGAGATTATTGCTTTAATAAATTGGGTTTTTATTGGTTCATTGTGGCAAATAAGCCCCCGATTGATTTTGCTCCTAATCAGCATGGAGAATGCATTCCGCTGTAATTAAATCCCGTGTAACTGGGCACTCTGTGTTCGCTTGTCTCTTAGCTTGCAGTGGCATGAGATACAGCACATCAAACGCTATCCTCGCCACGATAGGCACCCTGCCAGCCCGCGGAGCGATGATGCTCGCCTTCAGCGTGCTTACAGTGGGTACGGCTGGAGCGCGCTTGGAGCAGCGGGCAGCGCTCGGGAGACGTAGGAAACTTATGAGAGGAGGAAGATGGCCAGGGGTAGGGTCCTTTCCCTCGAGGAAGGTTTGACCCCCTCTCTGAAAACACTGCAGGAGAGGCGGGGGCCGCTGGCCCGCCCGCTTTCCCCAGGTCCCCGCAGCCCCGGCGCGGCTCCGCTGCCGCTCCCGGGGGCTCGGGCCGGGGCAGCCGGGTCCCCTCGGCCGGCGGCAGCGCGGCCGGGCTGCCAGGCGGGCAGTTTTGAAGAGTCGATCTTCATAATACAAATCCCCCGGCTTCGCCTCCCCGCCAGCGGCGCGAGCCAGCTTTTTAATTGAATCCCGGGGATTTGGCCGCAGCCGAGAGCCCCGGTTCGGGCCCCAGCGCCGTGGGTCCCCCCTCCCGGGAGCGGGACCGTCTCTCGAGGGCTGATCTCTCGCCTCCACACCGAGGGAAGGGAGGGCTCCGGCGGCCTGGGGGAGCCCCCCGGCCCGGGCCCCCGGGAGGCAGAGCGCGGGCTCGCTGCACCCCGGGGCTGGGGGCGGCGGGGGGGCCGGGGGCAGCTGGCGGGGCCGCGGCTGCTCCTGGCTGCTCCCGCCTCTCGCCCGGGCAGCGCTTTAGGGGGGGCTCAGGCCGGATCCTGCCCATTCTATACGTTAATGCTCTTTTCTCTCCGGCTGCAGGGAAGCAGGCCAGCGGATAATTACCCCTCACTGCAATCCGCAGAGCTGGCCTAATCCGAAAGCTCAAGTGCCCGTAAGTAAAACTTCAGGAAAAGTTATTGAAACTGACAAATACAGGGTGACAAATAATCAATAAAAGCCCAGTCCCACATCCTTTATTGTTTCCAGGCACTAACAGCAAGTAATGAAACCTCGGCGAGGACGGGGGAGGGAGCGGCAAGGACCGGGCGCTGGGCTGGCTCCTGGAAAGCCCCCACTAAAAGAAGCCCAGGGAAGAACCTGGCAGAATAAGGGGGACGATCCCGTCTCTATGGGGGACAGGAAAATGCAACCCTCCCACCGCCCCCTCTTCCCCAAGCCCTTCCTGCCGCCCGGGGCCGGGGCCGGGGCGCTCCGGATGGGCGAGCCCGGGAGGCTCCTGCCCGGCCGGGAACTTGTGCCCGAGCCCGCGGGCAGGGACGCCCCGAGCCCGGTGCCACCCGGCAGCCTCGGGCCACGCACCTTCTTCACGCACCCGCACAAAAAAAAATCAAAAAAAAATCAGGCGCTGTGATCTGCGTTCTGAAATCTATAACATCCCTGAACACCCAACGCGCTCCTTCTCATTAGCATCTCGGCCCTGGATTTTCCACGCCGCAGTTTCTAAAGTTTCAGCGAAGGACGCCGGGCAAGATAAATCCGTGCTGTCGTTTCTCTCCCTTTCTGTCTCTCCAAATTAAGTTTTGATCTATCAGTTTAAACACTGGCCAGAAAGTTGATTCACTTTCTGTTAGGATTTCGGGTTAAACCGGGGGCTCCTCCAGTGTCTTTAAGCTTTTGAGCTGTGTAAATGAACTGCAGTGTCACATAATCGATGGGGAAAACTCAGCTGTCACAGATACGAAAGCAGCCTCCTGCCACAGCAATAACGTGATTTGGCATTTCAAAGTTTGGAAACGTGCTGTCTGCGCGTCCGGGGCTCGGGGAGGAAGAGGGACGGGGGCGATGCTCGGGGCGGGCGGGGGGACAGCCCCCAGCCACGGTGGCCCCAGCAGCCCCGAGAGCCGGCGCCCCGCACCGCGGCACCCGCTGCCGCTCCACTGCCGCTCCCTCCCTTCCCGACACACGCTGCGAAAGTTGTTTCCCAACTTTGGCGTTAGGGGAGGGTTGACCCAGAACAAATCTCAGTGTCTCGGTGGCCTTTCCAAAGCGGCCGTGCCCCCCCCGCCCCGAGCCTGCGGGACGTGCCCATCTGGAGCACGCACCGTGAGAGCAACTGTGCCGCGTACAGCCACAGCGGCCATCAGTCACTAAAAGCCACACGCTTCACTGGACCGGGGATAAAACGAAGTCCTGGTGACGCCTGGTTAAACCACTGACCCTCTTGCGAGGGCTGGAGAAGGGGGGAAGGCGGCCTCCTCCCGACAAACTCAGCTTTGGGGGGCTCTGCAGGGCCGTGCCCCTCTCCCGGCGCTGGCAGCGCTGCCCCAAAGGGGACTCGGCGCGGATGTCCCGGGGTGCTCCACGGGGGGACGAGGCACGGACGAGGAGGGCCCCGGGCAGAGCCCCCGGCCCGGCCAATGCCCCTGGGCGGCAGCGGCAGCTCCCGTGGGCACGGCGTGCCCTCCGAAATGGTTCTTTTTATATCGCCTTGGGTGGAAACACCAACCCGCGGGCAGGGTGTGCTCTAAGCCGCGGGGTAAACACTGCCCTCGGTCCCCAGTCCCTACTGCACACCCCGATTCACCCCACATATGCGCAGGAAAACAACTCACACAGCACGTTCAGATGCTTTCTGGAAGGGGACGGCTTTGGTTTCAAATTAGGAAGCTCTCTCAGATGAACGATAAACTCCGCTTTGGTCAGGCTATGGTGTTTATTCATATCTTTGTGGTTTTTTCCTCACCAAAAAGAGCCCCGGGGGCTCAGTCAAGAAACAGGATTTCAGATAGCTTGATTTGGCATAAGGAAACTTTGCATTTGTAATATTATAAGACTCCGAAGGGGAAAAGTGAAACCTCTGTAGCCTGAGACAAGAAGTGTGCCTAAGTGCCACTGTGTTTCAATCCCCACTCGGATATAATTTAAGTCTTCTCTGGCTTACAGTAATATGCTCTCCAACCTTGAGGCTATCCAAAAGGGGGGGATTTAATGAGGCCGAGTTTATACACTTATATAATTTAGGGGTTTCGCTGTAGCTGTAAAATGACAATTGGTACATGTGTAGTGCAAAAGAGCTGAAATCCCATCCAGGGACCAAGTTGGTTATTTCTGAAGGAGCTGTCATTTCCAGCAGGGGGGCACAATGAGAAGGCCAGGAGCAATGGAGCTCTGATCTCCACCAAGGAGAGATAAGCACCTGATTAAAATGGGGCTCTTGTTCCCTCGTTACTCGATCGTCGTGTGAACTTACCTTATTTACAATTATAGGCAATGAGTGAGTCGCCCAGATTGTAATACACCTATAGCTTTGGGTTTACTCCTCTCTTTGTTATCGAGACCATCTCTCGGACAGATTTCTGGACCACTCATAGCATGTGAGCACAGAAACGCTCTGAAGG